GTAGACAGAAGAAGTTTTAAACAGCCAGCAAAGGTGTCTTCTTTGTACGACATTTTTGTATGGATACCTATACATTCCTACAGGTGGAGTATTATTTAGCAATAACTATTTCATCATGCACCCGTGTGGCAAGAATAGCGTCAGTTGAAGAAATCCGCAAATAAATCTCGGAATGAATACTTAAGCAGTCGCCAATTTACGCCTGTTATGATGATGACTAGCGGGCTAGATGCTCGCTTATTGACGGCGTCAAAATAGCCGAAAAACAGTGAGATATGAAGACGATTGAGTGGTGAAAAAACTTAAACGGGAAATATTCACCAAAAGGTACAAAAAGCATGTGATTACAGAGGTTTTTAAGATGAAAACTTCTGTCGTTCATGGACCGCGAATGGGTGTGAGTGGCACTGGACCGCCCTGCCGAAGCGGTTTTATAAGGGTGCGAAATTTCCCGGTCATGAGGGAAATAACAACCGGAATAGGTTGCTTGCACACCCAAAACGCTGCAAATGCGACCATAATATTTTTTTGTTGACCGAATCAACCGCTGGCAAGATGGCGAGACATGAATCCGCCGCAAGCGTCAATATTTCGCTTGGGGGCGGAACGAGGATGGAGCACTAGAGGTCGCGAAGATAGTTGCCGAAAAGGATGATAACAATGAATCTAACAATCGGTAAACAGCATAACTAGTCAGTTGGAAATAAGTAGAAATTTCAGAGTGAACAAGTAAAGCATGTAAGACCTTCCCTTAAATTCCAGGAAGACCCTTTTTAAAGTCCAGGTGTTGAGTGTTTGTAATGAAGACATACGTACATCGATTATTCATAGGACGGCCTAATTTCAAATGAAAGACTATTTCAGAGAAAAGTATATTTGAAAACAAAAAGGAACATATTGAGGTGGGACAAATAAGCGGTGGAATTAACATGGAGGATGCACGTGCGTAATAAGCTCAATCCACTCGAGTGTGGGGGCCAATGCATTCTTTAGGTCAAAGAAAGGTTCACGCTTACCGCGAATTTCGATATCTGTTTTCGAATTTTCCGTTCACTCTTGCTGGAATTTCGGTCCACTTGTCGTTTCTGTAGTCTGTTAACAGTAAGGATTGATTCTGAGCCAGCAATATTTTCATCCTCACAAATATACAACTGGATTTCAACAGAAAGAAAATATTCCTGTTGTAACCAGTTGATTAACGTTTGGAAATCTCCACGCCCTCTTGGCAAGTGCTTCCACGTTTGGCCCCTATTGACATTCCCCTTTTACCCCCTTTCTAGCGAGGTCGGCGATCTTTTAATAAACAAGTTTTTAAATTCTGACCTTGAGCTGGGAATTTGATTTGCTCGAACAGTAACAAGGGAATTCTTTGTCTAGTGTATCCATTGTTGAGGTTTGTACGTTTTTATTATTACCTGTATTCTATCAGTAGTACCGTATATACAGCGAGATCTGTTTTGGCTTATTTGCGTGACTCAGTTAACAAAGAATTCTCTAGTATTCAACATTGTACCATAAATTGGAGGAAATTACTTTTATCAAATGCAGACGTGTTTGAGAAAGCATGAATCGGACGGTACCAAACAGTCTCTTGGACTATACAAACCAAGTGCCTTCGAAGGACACGGAGAGCTGAAGAAGGACTTCCAGTACGGCTCTTGTAAGAACGTTTCTATTAGTAGTCGTAGTGACAGTAAAGCCTTAAGAATATCAGAAATAGAAAAGAGGCGAGTTAAACGTGAGACCGAACTCCAACGGGCTATTTTTGATGCCGAGAGAAGGACCGAGCCTGCAAGGATAGAGGCTGAGACCGATGAAGAGATATCCGATGACGACCGTCAACCTATGGATTCAGTCGCACAGATCTCGATATATTTTAAGCAATGAACACTAAATGAATTTCCTCTTGAAGAGAGTGGTCACTGTTAACGTGGGAGTGTTGATATGCCCAAAGCAATTGCTAGGAGTCTGCAAGTGTAGCTCTCGGTGAGAGTGACCAAACAAGGCTATTGTGACGCTACCACGCTGCTACGCTCTTCTCTCGACGCCAGTAAGGAACGCGAGTTTGAGAAAATATATGGAAGGCAGATTTTAACATGATTAAGAACGAATGGATGTCGGCGAATTGAGACTGTTTGCTCAAACGGGATCTAGAGGACGACTGCAGATCATGTATGACGATTCCACTCGATCTGACTCAGTACTGTTGTCCAGTGTTACCCTTAACAGATAGACAAGGAAGAAGAAATAAAAATAGAAGATATTTGTGGAAATTGGGTAATTTGAACACATTGAGGAATTTCGTCGCCAACGGAATGCGGTCAAAAATGCATCCCTTTGGCAAGAAAGGACAATGAGTCAACAATTGTCCGGTCACCTAAACAAAAGCACTAGAGTTTAATTCATTATGTTAGCAGTTGACAGAAAAACAAGAACCATGTCGCAGTACTGAAGGACAATAATGGTGTAGAGGTTGTTGGAAATGGCAAGCAAGCCGAGCACTTGAGACATCTCTTTGTGTCAGTATTCGCTAGGCAAACGGAGTTTCAAATTCACAGTGCCAACAGGGGCTGTTGTGGCCGCCGGTCCAGTGCTAGAAGGGATTTAATCAAAGCTACTATTGCCTTGCCAGTTTACTTCTCTCGACCAAGCAGAGGACTAGCGCGTTGGGTGAGGATGTTAGGGTTGGCGTCATCTACACTAATTTCAATAAGGTGTTTGACAACGTCCCACATAAGTGTTTAATCAACAGACTATCTGAAATCCGAATAAAAGGACAGTGATGACATGGATCGCAAATGAAGTACACACTTGCTGAGAAACTACTGCAGATACGATAAAGATTGTGTCGGTGGCGGCAGTTTGCGCCTGGCTCACATATACCGATGACGATGTCCACCGTGTGCTTCACAACAAAGTGGAGCGGGGGGGCGACTCGTGGGTGAATTTGTTTATAGTGAACGCGGACTTGCACAGCATCTACCGCACCCTCTCTTCCTCCTCCGCCTGGACCCGGTATCAAGACAGAGTCAAGAAGACCGGAGGCGGGGAGGGCGCAGGTGGATGGCATGGTCAAACCCGCAGCTTGACGCTCTACTCCTCACCCGCGGTCCACACAGAAAGTGGACCAGGATTTTAACTAACAACAAAAGAAGTGTCTGGCGCGGCCGAAGCCCCCACACTTGGCTCAGATGCCACGGAGTGGGTGTGCCATAAAGGCCACATTAAGAAGGGGACATTGTAGGCTCACTCGTAGATCAGCGTTCGGCCGCTCCACGCAAATATATAAAACTGGGCCGACTGCGAGGTCCAAGTTGTCCCGTCAGTTGGCAGCCTCCCAAGTTACGGCTTTTAGCGCATCGTGATATTTTCAGGCGCGTCAGATTGTTTATAGTGAGGAGAATACGCTGAGCTGTCGACCTCACTCTCCCTTCCAATTCCCAAGTCCCAGTCATTGTCCGCGCCGGTCAGGTGACTGGTGAGGGGAATGGGCGTGGTGGCTGGCATATCTAGTGACCTTTTCTGGCCGCGCCACATTTATGACCTGTCCCTCCAAACATAAGCACCAGAAATTCACACAACGGGGATTTAGCGTCGTACATCTCACATGCGTGAGAGTGCCGTAGATCACTTTAAGAAGGAGTCGTTTCAGCCTGGCTCTTAGCCCCCCAGTCCGCCACTCCACACATGCGCACAACAATGGGCAAGCTGCGTAGACTAGGCTGAGCGTCAGTTATCAGCCTTCAAATTCACAGGGCTTGACGCACAGTGATTGAAATTTTGCAACAAATGCCGACAGTTACCGTTTACGGCCTATATAGCTCATTTGCTATCTTCCGGTGATATTTATTTCACGTACCAATATTTATTCACGGTTAACGGAAGGATTTGTGCTGAACATTATGGGAAACATTTAAAATAAAGCGATTTTTTCTCTCCCTCTTTCACTCTGTGTGGGTGTGTCGAGTCAAGCCTTGAATTGAAAGAAGCTCTGCCTAGCGGCCACACCTCGGTAACCATTTCGATCTAAGGACTAAACCAGGCGAAGGCATCCGTGTGTGTATCTCCGCAGACGGCAAATCGGTTCCGCTAGCTGGATAGATCACCCCCTCGGTATTTCCGAGACGAGCTCCATTTGGAAGATCGCAAGAGGACACATGGTAAGTGAACCGCCACGTAAGCGGACATTGTTCTGCCGTCTTTGCAATACTTTATCTTGCCAGCTTGCTTTCTGTCAGCTTGTTCGTTTCCGTCCTTATTGTAAACTAAATGCCGTTGGGGTCTCGTAGCTCAGGTGGTTAGAGCTTTGACTGTACTATAGCTTTCCCCTTACTGTCGTGGTTTCCAATCCCACTGAGGCGCCGAGTTTTTCACAGTTGGGTCAGTATGAAATGGCGTTCTGTTGAATTTGTCTGCTCACCTTTTATATTTCAGCAACCAGTTTTGAGAGGGACGGTAAAGCCCTGCTTTCCGTTTCTCTACCATTCCCCCTCCGCCCTACAAGTTCTACGCGATGTCGTAGGCAGGCCCAGGCCAACTTGGGTCGCTCTCCCACTAAACAAAAGTCGTAGCCCATAGTGGAGTTCCGCAGCAGTCTGGGACAACTGAGCAGTCATATTTAAGGAGAGCACTGCTCACCCCTGCGAGGGGGAAGAGGCTAGAAAATGTGCTCTAAACAAGTGCTAAGAAGCCACGCTGACCGAGACTGCAGACGAAAAACTCACGATCGAAACAACCAAATCAAAAACAACACTCCCTCCCCCCGTCGCCCCACTCGCCAGACTGGTAGAGTAAATCCGTTCACTCTGGCAGCCCGGAATTTTCGTCCCCCTTTAGATAACCCGTGGAGCAGCCGACCGGGACGGAGGACGGCACCAATGGCTCGGGAACTGGCGCACTACAAGATCGACAGCGCTGCACTCAGTAGGACCGGGTTCTACGAGCAAGGCTAACTGGGGGAGGTGGGTACCGGCTACACATTCGTCTGGAGTGGTCTTCCCATGGCAGAGCGACGGGACGCGGGCGTCGCCTTTGCCATCCGGAACGACGCCGTGGGACGACTGCCCTGTCTGCCGCAGGGCATCAACGATCGCTTGATGAGCCTCTGCCTGCCTCTCCAGGAAGGTCAATTCGCCGCCATTGTGAGCGTCTATGCTCCCCGGATGACCAGCCCCGATGCTGCAAGAAACGAACTGGTTAGAGGACGTCTTGATCGGCCGATCGCAGCCTGTGTGCACTGGCAATGCGATATCGATGCCAGTACCAGTTGTTAGGGCCCTGTGCTCGGGTCACTACTGCTTTAAATTTATGTCAATGGCTGTATGAACGAAGTGGCCTGCAAAGGAGTCATGTTTGCTGATGACATCAAGATTCGGCGGGCGATCAATGCAATAATGGTGAACGGACCCTGAAAGGGGGACCTAACTGCCCATGTGAATGGTCCAATAAATGACTAATGAAGTTTAATCTTGAGAAGTGTGTCGCACCGCGACTCAAACGTAAAACGAAAGAGCAAATGAGGGGAATAATCAGTTCTTTCTTGATGAAAAGTTTCTTTTAAATGAAACCCAACAAAAAGACCTGAGATCAATATTCCGTCATATCTAAAGCCCTCTTCTCAGGGCGACCAAAAGGGCAGCTAGTATCCTCTTCGCCATTAAAAGTACTTTCTGAGATAAAGAAAAGGAAATATTTGGAGAAGCATACGGTACGTTTGTTCGTTCACAACTGGAATGTGGAATCCAAACGTGATGTCCCCGGCTTAAAAAGGGTTTGTTATTTTGTTAGAAAGGATTCCAAGAAGGCGTCCAAAATCGTGGAGGGCCCCAGGGTGTTGTCTAACCAATGCGGATTTGATGAACTTAACCCGCTTCCTTTTGAGTGCTAGCAGACCTGAGAAGACCTTATACGGACCTAACGGATAGTGAGCGATAAGGACTCTACCCTGCGCTTCGATTACTTCTCCGCCTCGGCCGCAACAATAAACCCTCGTTGGCAACTTTGAAAGAGCCCGGTCCCACCTGAATGCTCGTAGGTACTTGTTTCGCAGCGAGTTGCCGATATCTGGAACAGAATTCTCGAGTGCGGGATAATGGCGGATACAACAGAGACATTCAAACATAGACTTGATGCATTTTTGCTTGAAAAATACCGTCTAAGTGACAGGTAAGCTCTCTTGAACCCAAGCAGTCGTTTGCATGCATCTACCGCTAATTAGGATGACTCCTAATCCATATTCTAACTTACGCCCTACAACTGAGGGTTGCAGACCCACACCTTTTAAATAAGACTTTGTAGGATGTATTTGTTGCTGAAAATATTTTAACAACATCTTTATTTGAGCCTGAACTTGGTGCGTACAGTTTTCATTAGGGTCTTAAAACGCATTGTCCATTACCCGTAAGCGTGCTGAACTATATGTCGGAATCTGCTGAAGAGGCAACGAGCAGCACTTAAGTAAAAATAGTCAAAGGAACACTGGAGGTCCCAAAACGTTCTATGGTGATTTAAGTGGGGGAAAACATAACCGGGGCTGCAGTCCTTGTCTAAGGAATTGCCAAGCACATACGTCGTCTGATAACTCCCACAAGTTGAACCTCTTATCCGATGTCTTCATTTCCGTGTATCCCAAGTAGTTGGTAACTTACGAGGGATTATACATCTTAACTACTACATCTAACGATACAGTTAACATGGTAGACTTCATAGCAAGCATGATAAGGAAAACTTCATGACAGTTATAATCCACCAAATCGTCTGGCCCAAACAGCATATCCGCAAATGTCCTGAATGAACGCAAATTCTACTGGCCTCTCTGCTCTCCAAGAGTCCCTAAACTTTTATGGAGGCTAGGGTTCTGCCTACTGGCTGGAAGCATGCCAGCATAACCTCCACAAAAACGGATGAAAGAACCTCAAAAAATAGATGTAGACTAACAAGCTTCACAAACATCTGTTGCATACTGATGGAGAAGAGATGAAAAATGCGGTTGTGGTTCGGTATACGTTAGACTAATAGGCAGTAAATTGAAGATCCCAGTGAGAACGGTGCAAACAACATTCAGATTTAAATAAACATGTTGTTGAAATGGTGTCTGCAACAAATGCACTCTACAAAGTATTATGTCAAAAGTATGGGGGCGCAGCCTCTAGTTGTGGAGGAGAATGTCAAATATGCATTAGTAGTCTTTCGAATAGCCGATAGATGCGTGCAATGGACCGGTTCGGTGCAACAGAACTTTGTTGTTCATATGGACGGTACTTTTAAAGTGCACATAATAATAGTATATTATGCATTTTACAGGCGTTGTCTAAGAAAGATAAAGCGCGGATCGGGCTAGCAGTAAAAAAAAAACTCACGAGTAAATAAAGGCAGGTGGTGTTGTTTTGGAAAGTTTGGACGGTTTAGAAGAAGGACCTGCCGCCCAAGAAATGACGTCGGCCTAGAAGGGAATGGTTGACAGTTTACCGGATGTTTTCGGTCTCTATTCCTTTTCAAAAAATTTCGACTGAGCCAAACAGAGCACATGGAAAAACATTTGTCCACTGTCGTCTAGGGAAACTGTTCGTAGTGTTGCGGGATGAGGCCAGGCAGGGGGGGACGTCAGAGACCACGAATCCCATGACTATAGAAGATTAGTTCGGTGGATTCAGCGTCCAAAAACTATGAGTTTACCTGAATGCAAAACACTACTAATAGTTCTTTTAAACAAAGAACAAGTGTGAGGATTTTGTCATTCCTGCATACTTCGTCCAAGATTGCAATTATGTCCTTGGAAAAGAACTGACAAGATTTAACGGTACGTACCAGAGGAAGAAATAAAAGACCTCTCGATGCCTACCACGTCGGTGATGGTCGGGGCGTGCACAAAGCGCCGTCTCTAACAAAATTTCTTGAAAGGATTATTTTCAATCAAATTCTTGACTTCTGTCAAACTAATCGGCTTTTGAGCTCTAGACAGCATGGATTTTTACCTGAACGATCCTGCGAAACATGTCACTTGGCTTTTCTTAATCTAATCCCTTCTCTTCGTAATGAGCGGCAGTCAGTGGTAGTTATTTACTTCGATCTTAGCAAAGCCTTTGACAAGGTGCCCCATAGACGTCTTTTAGTAAAATTGGAAGCTCTCGGCATCCGGCCGCCTCTACTCGACTTCATCAGGTCCTATCTGCCCAACCGATATCAGAAAGTCATGGTCGGTAATAGCTACTCGACACCCCACTCGATCACGAGTAGCGTACTTCAAGGCACGGTCCTGGGTCCGCTACTCTTCCTTCTGTACATCAATGGTATTTCGACTGAACTCGGAAATTTGCAAACTTTTACTGATGCCGATGACCTCAAGTGTGTTTACTCATACTCTAAGGACACCGCAAACGTTTGTGTTGAAAAAATTAATGCCGATTTACTACGCTTAAGCAGATGGGGTTCGACATGGCAGATGGAGTTTTCATCATCCAAGTGTAGTTTCATGTCTTTTGGTCCTACCAAACTTCCTGGTCCCATAATTTTTCAGAATAACCCACTCTCAGAATGCCTTACCATAAAGGACCTAGGTCTAAGTTATACAAATAAGCTTGCTTTATCACCTCATGCAGATAGAATCTCTGCCAAAGCCGCGCAGATATGTGGATTCATATCGCATAATTTTTTCCTCTCGGAAATGAAGCTAAGACTTTATCAAATGTTTGTTCTTCCGGTCCTCGAATACTGCTGTCCTTTCTTCGGTTTAATGAACGCCTGCGACCGTAATAAAATCGAAAATGTTCAGAGGGTTTTCACCCGGAAACTGTTCTCTGAAGCTTCGTCCAGTATTTCTTATACTCAGAGATGTCAGCTGGCGAACATTAAGTTTTTGTGGGTTAGAAGACTCGAAGCTGGCCTTTGCTTCTTTTTTCGCATCAACTCTAGCTCCAGTCTTCCGCTCATTGACACTCTCACTCCGAGAGATCGATCTTATGCCACGCGCAACTCCTGCATGGTGATTCCGTCGCGTCTTTGTACTACATCTAAGCGCTCCCTCTTCTTTATTTCTAACGATGCCTTCCTTTGGAATAATCTTCCGCCTGAAATTAGATTATCGCCTAAGTTACTGGTATTCAAGTCGAAATTATGCAAACATCTTACACCGGAAAGCATAAAGGCACTGCTAGCGGTCTCATTCCCGAACACTCAGATTCTTGACATCGAGAGAGGTCTTCCTGGGATTTAGTGGTAGATTAAGTACTAACTCTTAATTATATCATTAGAAGCCCCTGTTTTGAATTGGTTTCTAAATCCACTGCTATCACTTCTCCCCCATAGCGACAATTTTCGCGGTTTTTGATGTCATCTCCCGCATTCCGACCTCATGCGGTCTGTTGATGCTCACGGCGGAACCCTCAGTATTCACTGTCTACTAGTAGTTCGGTCGTACCTCCCGTCCCCACTGGTCGGCTGAGGTCGAAATGTGCTGTGGCCGATCGCATCTCGGTTCCTCTCGTCTGGCCTCTTTGACGCGGCGTATCAATCCGGCCCAGACGATCTCAATTTTGAATCTCGTATACAATGCCATATGCAAGCCAGTGCTGTCTGACTCACATTCGTACCTCTCAAGGCTGAGATTTATTGATACCCTGACGATGACCGACAACATTTCGTTATATACCGCCACCTACAGCCCAGTCCTGCTCGCTTTTTTCTGGCATTATTTTTGTTGGGGTTTTTTTTCTCCTTTAAAATTAATCCAATCATTTTTAACTTTTTGTAAGGAGTTTTTTTTCACCCCTCAATCATCATGTTTCTCAATGGACTTCTAATTCAGAAACTATGAGTTGAATTTTGTGAATATTCGGCCTACCGCGTCTAAAACTCGCATGTAAATTTATTTTAACTTGCTTTGATGGGACGATGACGGGTCTTTAATAAAACATTATCTAAAATTATCTATGTTTTAAAATATTAAGCGGATTAGAAGTACGACTGTTTAAAAACTTGAATCATAAATAGTCCCATTTTGCTCTAAGAAACCACAATAGATCAAGGCCCGTAAGTTGGCAACGTTTTTTGTACGACAAATTTTGGTGTTCCATAGTTAAAACTCCTTCGATAAAAAGTGTCGGAGGCATTCTAATTTTCTTCCGTCCAGCAGCGCGCAAGAGGCTAAACAAAAAAGATCAGTATTCCAGGCCAGTCCTAACGTGCATCTTATAAAAGCGCATTCTAATATCGTCTGTCTTAAAATTTTGGAGGATAAACCCGGTCGTTCTGCGTGCCTTAGAGACTGTCAGGGTGG